AAGCGTCAGCATATAAAAAGTGAAGTACAAGATAGATTGAAGAAGACAATCCTGAAAACTTACCACCATGCAGTGAGTAGCCGCTTGGGCTCCAAGCTGAGCAACCGGAAGTTTGGCCCAGCTAGCAACCTCCTCGACATACACTGCGCCTTTGCTCTTGAGGAGGCCGTACTTCGGAGTCAAAATGCTCCAAGCTGCATCGTCGCTGCCTGAAGAAGCGGCAGTTGCCAGGGCGGGCTCCGAAGACGTAGCCTCCTCGGGCGCACGGGGCGGGGAGAGCTTGCCTGATTCCTCCTCGACTAGGTCTATCATAGGAGGTTGCTCGGTGGTTGATGGCTGCTCGGGCTTTGGAACGGCAGCTGGCAGGGACTCAACACGAGTTCTTTTTGAAGCTCGCTTCTTCTTCCCTTTCTTCATACTCCCGAAGAGTTCGTTCGCGAGGATGTCCATAATAGCTGCAACAAAAATGAACTGTCAGAAACAGTACCGAAATAAAACAAAGGAAATACAATAAACAGCGACCTACCGGGACTCTGACCGGCCTACACAAACTTCTCCTCAGTCACAAAGTCTACGAACTTCAAGCCGAGCTCCGCCCAAGATCAGAGCACTTCCCTTATCTTCAAGTCCAACTAGACACCGGGGTCCTAGATGGCTGCCCTCCAATGGGTCGGGAAAGGCCACCCCTCAGTGTTGCGGACCACAAAGTAGTGTCTCTTGCAGGCCGAGGCCTGGTTCGGGAGTTCGTGCAAGAGTTTGAAGCCAGGACGAGGTGACAGGTAATAAGTTCGCCTGTGCTCGGGCAGAACATAGGACGAGTTCTTTTTAATGGAAAGAATAGAGGAAAAGATGTAGAGGTCGAGAGGAAGGTTGTAGTCGTGGAAAAGAGAAATGGTGCCTACGACGTTGCAGATAGAGTTCGGGTGCAACTGGTCTATGGTGATGTTGAACAACTTTATGACTTTGACTATCAAAGGGTGAAGTGGAAGACGAAGACTAGCTACGAGCTGTTCCTCGAAGATCACGATCTCATCATGACCGTGCTCAAAAGGGAAATTTCCTAAGGGGATACTGTAGACAAAGTTGTTTGGAAGCATGTACCGGGCTACTAGGGATTGGAGGCTATCTGCCGTCATTGTCGATGGGCCAAAGTTATCTAGAAGCCGACCTCGATGCGAGGTGGAAGCCAGATTACCAGAGGCCTCTCGCTCCCCTGGGGTGAGTCCACCTCGGGAGGACCGCGGACCGCATCCTGACCCAAAGTAACCTCCTCGGCAAGACAAAGTTCTACGACCTGAGCCAAGGTACCCACCTCGGCTCCAGCGGATTCACCGCTCCCGTCTAAAAGACTATCGAAACTAAAACTAGACATAATGGAAAGACGCGGAATCGAGAAAGAGAGGCAGGGAAGACTCACCAAAAGAAAGACCGGAAAAAGGAAGACGATCTCGGAAAGACACCGAACTAAAGAGACACCGATCTTAAGGACTCGAGCGCGACCTCATATTGAAGATTAGCGGACTTGTGGCGAAGAAAATGAGTTCCTTACCCCCTATTTATAGCTGGTGTGTCCGGGAATCAACGGTCGAGATCGTCATGATCCAACGACTCCTAGGAAAACCAGTTGCATGACCCCCAAGGTTGAAATCGGTTTAGCGCGTGTTTTGACGTCCGTGGAGTTTATAAAACTGCTTGATGTCCGCGCATACACCTGACGCGACCTGGGTTATTCCTGGTTGAGCTGAGTGGCCGAACTGATCCGATCAATGATTCGCCCGTCAAACCGCTTAGACCTCATGCCAAATCCACCTGGACTCATCATGAACTCTCCGCACCGGGTAAGACCCCTGGCTCAGGGAGTGGGGAGCAATTGATGAAGGGTGATTTGGCCCGACCTAGCAAAAAGGGGACACGTGGACACGAACTAACTAAGAGATGACAACTCAACCTAGCCAGATTAATTCACAACAATTGAGCTCGGGTATTCAATCACCTTGGCACAAGGGTCACCTCGGCACAGGGTCACCTCGGTGCAAGGTCACCACGGCGTATAGTCACCTCGGAATCGAGGCACCTCGGCACTCAATCCAGTTCGGAACTAAAATGACTGAAGTATCAGCTTGGGGCTACCGACCTGGGCCATAACGTAATGATCTCGGAAGTTGCTCCAATAGACTCTGAACCTCACGGGATCACGCCGTGTAACGGCAAGCTTATCTTCTCCCCTCTCGGATTGGGCGGAATTGATAATCTTTATCAATTGATAACGTTACCCCCCCAATTAAAGCGGAAACGGATCCCATCAGGATGAAGATCCCGGAACCGGTCCACAAAACCCGCATGGGCTCAACTATATAAAGGCACAAAGCCCAATGACACAAGGTACGCGTGATTTTTCTACTCTCTAGCTTTCTAGCTCTCTAAGCTCTCAAAGCTTTTCAGCTCGCATTAGTTTACTGACTTAAGCATCGGAGCGACCTCGCCGGGTTAGCCACCCCGGGTTCTCTGATTCTCTTTCCCGCAGATTCACCTATCTCACTGCCCGACTGGAAGCCATATCATCCTCTAGCAGGGAGTAGCCAGATCACGCTACATCAATTTTCATAATGAAATCTTATAATCTTTACTTTTTCATGCTTTTAACCATTACCATTACAAATTTAATTAATTACAATGATGCCATTGAATAAAAAAATCATAACTTGTCCTTTCTCCTTTCCCTCTTTCATATTTGATACTAATTATTTATAATGGTGCCACTGTTAACTATTTATAATGATGCCACTAAACTTTTACCTTTTTCATATTTGTTAAAAATTGTTTTTATCTCATTTTATTTACAATCAGGTCATGTTGGCCTGTGCTGAGTCAGGCCGTACTGACCTCCCCTAGGATACTTTAGGGGTTCGGCCCGATACAACCCTTAGCCCCCGCATAGGCCTGTGTCGCGCCACTGGCCAGGTTGGTTTGTGGGACAAGTCTTAGGCCAGGCCAGGCCACGATCCGAGCTAATTCATGTTTTTTAAAATTTTTGAGAAAAATAATGAAAAAGTTAACATAAATTAAAAAATATATAAAAATTAAAAATATATTAAAATTTTATTTTATATGAATTTTGATGTATACAATTGTTTATATATGCAATAATCAAATGAAATAATATAATAAAATTGAAAATAAAATTATATATTATATAATATACGGCTTGAGCCGTGGCGGGCCACAAGTCAAGTCTTAGGCCAGGTTGGGCCACAAACCAGGCTAAGCCTATTCATGGGCTTGGTGGTCCGATAATTCAGCCCGACCCATTAACAATGCTAAATTAATTAATTAAATAATTTGAAATAGCCTTTTCCAATCTTATGTTGATAATACATAAAGTTTTATTTATTCATTTACTTATTTTACTAAATTATTTAATTAGTTAATAATTTAATAATCTAAGAAATTTTTATTGCTAGCAAAGTAAGACATAGAATCATGTATATATTTATATATATTTACTCTCTCACTTGATTGTCTATTTATCTAATTTATTTTACTAAATTTATTTATTTATTAAATTAAATTAATTATTATTTAACTTTTTACAATTATTCCATTATATAAAATAAAAATACAATGACAAAAGTTATCTCTCCCTCTTTCACTCTATTGCCTGATGGCCATAATTATTTATTTATTATTTTATTTTGTTAAATTAAATATATTATTATCCATAAAATTTTATTTATTTTAAATAAATATTTTTTTCAATAAACTTTTAATTAAAAAATTTATCTTTCACAATTTTTTCTTATATAATAATTTATCTTTGACTAGCCACTTACCATCATGTTCATCCGCTAGTTAATTAGAGAAAGAAAAAATACTTCATCGATGTTTTGTATTCAACCCATTAAAAAAAGTCAAGGAAGGCAATATAATCTATAATTTCTTATTCTTGACCAATCCAGTCAATCAAATACCCCAATAGGCACCCATCTCCAATTCGTGATTGCCAAATGTCAATGCACTGCTGGAGATCAACTTGTTTTGGACTCATTCATCCCCCCCACCCCGCCTACGGGCCAATAAAACCCGTGTCGTGCTGGGCTGGGGTTTTGGAGCCCATGGACCATATAATAATAATGGTGATGTATATATATATATATATATATATATAATTTTTTATTTTCAATGTAGTATAACTTTATTTCAATTTTATTGTATTTTTTAAATTTCTTATTTATTTTATATTCTCGTTACTTTATTTTAATTTTAATTTTTAAATTTTTTCCAATTTTCTGAAAGATTATACTACTGCCCACTGGCCCACGGCTTCCCTCCGGGCCAAGCAGGATGCGGGCGGCCCGCAAAAGTGGGTCGTGCCATCCACACATTTCAGTATTACACCTCTCTCCGTCCTTTGGTCAGCGAACCTTCTCCTAGCCGAAAAAGGAAAAATGTTGAATAGATTTTTCGTTTTAGTGAAAAAGTTTTGATTAGTCGTGAATACCTTTAGACTGCGTTTGGAATCGGTATAAATCAAGAATGGTGTAAAAAGTTACATCAATTCCATTTTGTCTTCATACTCATTATTGACATAAAACTCCACTCAGATTCAGTGTAAAATGTTATTAAGTTTATCAATTATCGATATAAAATTCTACTTCTATAATTTAAAACATATCAAACGTAAGATTGTATTTAAAATTGGTGTAAATCAAGAACGATATAAAAGTTTACACTGATTTGGTTGTTGGTGTTTGAAAGAAATATAAATGAAGATCAATATAAAACTACTCTCCAATTTAGATTTATTAGTATTTGAATGGAATGGAATTTTACATTATGAATTGATATAAAACCTCATCAATTTTTATGAATATAAAATTTTATACTTTTGTATCACGGTTTTCAATAGTCCAAACGAAGCCTAAAGTTTTAAATGGATCATCGATGTAAAATATTCCATCGAAAAATTAGTCTTCATCCATCGCTTTTTTCAAAAAGCAACAGCCGCAACGCTACTTTCACGGTTCGGTGTACCGATAACGTTTTACACTGATTCCAAACACAGCATTTAACCAAATACCACCACTACCTTTCTCCCCTTTTCCGGTTAACTCGTTTTCTCTGTTACTTCTCTTCTTCTGAAATGGCGCAGCTTATCTATCTGCAACTCCTATTCCTTTTTCTGTTCTTCCCATCAACATCCACCGTCGATTTGGTCTTCAACGGCTTTGCTTCCTCCGATCTCTTGTCCTACGGCAACGCGTCGCTCGAGTCTCGTATTCTCATCCTTACAAACAACTCTGCTTTCTCCATTGGCCGCGCCCTTTACCCCACAAAGATACCAACCAGACCTCCCAACTCGTTCACGTTCCTTCCATTCTACACCTCCTTCATCTTCTCCATCGCTCCCAATGAGGGCCAACTCTCCGGCCACGGCCTTGTCTTCATCTTTGCTCCCACCACCGGAATCAATGGCACCAGCTCTTCTCAAAATCTAGGCCTCTTTAACCGCACCAACAGCGGCAGCCCCACCAACCACGTACTGGGTATCGAATTTGATGTTTTCCAGAATCAAGAATTCAATGATATCAACGACAACCATGTCGGCATCGATGTTAACTCTCTCACGTCATTAACTGTCCAACCGGCCGGTTATTGGGGTGAGAAGAAAAATGATCAAAATGGGACTTTTCATGATTTGAAGCTCAACAATGGCGCCAACTATCAAGTATGGATCGACTACTCGAATTCTCAGCTTAATGTCACCATGGTCCGAGCTGGATTGAAAAGGCCCCAGCTGCCTTTGATCAGTACTCCCATCAATCTGTCAGACGTTCTTCTAGACGAAATGTATGTCGGCTTCACAGCAGCAACAGGACAGTTAGTTGAATATCATAGGATTCTTGCTTGGTGTTTCAGTAATTCAAATGTCTCGATTGGAGATTCCTTATTAACTTCGAATTTGCCGTCGTTTGTTCCTCCTAAGAGTTCTGTTCTTCGATCAAAAGGAGTAATTGCGGGGATCACGGTGGCGGTTGTCGTTGTTCTCGTCTGTGCTGCCCTGATATCTCTGCTTTTAGTTAAGAAGAGGAGGAGAATGAGGGAAAGAGAGGAGATGGAAGAATGGGAGTTGGAGTACTGGCCCCATCGGGTCACTTACAAGGAGGTTCACGCGGCAACCAAGGGGTTCTCGGAAGAAAATGTAATTGGAGTTGGAGGGAACGGGAAGGTCTATAAAGGGGTTTTGTCAGGAGGACCAGAGGTTGCTGTGAAGCGCATTTCGCTCGAGACTGATGAAGGAATGAAAGAATTCTTGGCTGAGGTATCGAGCCTTGGCCGATTGAAGCACAGAAACTTAGTTGGGTTAAGAGGCTGGTGCAAGAGAGAGAAGGGGAGCTTGATTTTGCTGTATGATCATATGGAGAATGGGAGCTTGGACAAGAGAATCTTTGAATGTGAGCAGAGTATGATGTTGGGTTGGGAAGACAGGGTGAGAGTGATGAAGGATGTGGCTGCTGCGATCTTGTACTTGCACGAGGGCTGGGAAGCTAGAGTCTTGCACAGAGACATAAAATCCAGTAATGTGTTGCTTGACAGAGATATGAGTGGCAGGTTAGGAGATTTCGGGTTGGCTCAAATTCATGTTCAAGGCCAGCCGACGAACACAACGCGCGTGGTTGGAACTGTGGGATACATGGCTCCCGAAGTGTTGCGGAGCGGGCGGGCGTCGACACAGACCGACGTGTTTGGTTTTGGGATCTTGATTCTTGAAGTTGTTTGCGGGCGGAGACCCATAGAGGATGGGAAGCCAGCTTTGGTTGATTGGGTGCGGGGACTAGCAGAGTGTGGGGAGTTGCTGTCTGCGCTGGACGAGCGGCTGATGGCGAAAGGGGGGTGCGACGCTGAGGAGGTAGAGAAGTTTCTTCGTCTTGGCTTGTTGTGTGCATGTCCTGACCCTCGTGATCGGCCAACGATGAGACAAGTTGTGAAGGTGTTGGGGGAGTCAGGGGAGGCGGAGTCATCTAAATGGTTAAATTTGGAGGAGCTTCAGTCTGCAATTTGGGAACTCAATTTCCAAGGGAACTTCGACAGTTCTGCCTTACTGTCGGCCTACTCTCTATCCCTAACCAATGACTCCTATCCAAGTGACCTCTGATGATTGAAAGGAATCTATGTTCATTTGATGATCCATCCATTCATGAGGCTTTTATCTCGATTAGCCAATAGTTTCAGAAAGAAAAACCTTCACCGAGTTCAAGTGGAGTGTCAACTACTTGTGGAGTTAAGATATTCATTCCACACTTGATTGGGAAGAAAGGCAGGGAAAGAAGACAAAAATGTGTTCGTGACTTCAGAAGATGCTCAGTGTTTGAGTTTGCAGTAGACCTTCCAAAGAATTGTGGCATCTTAAGCATGGTAAGATGTTCCTTCTTAACCTGAGTATAATCTTATCTACTCCAAATGTGCAAGGAAAACATGTCCACCTTCAGTAATTCTTGTATACTGCAGACAATAAGCTATTGGAATCAATTTACAAACACCACCCCCAGAAACAACAGAGCAATTTGTAGTCTACATGTAGAATGGAACTAACAGCATATTGTCCTCCTGTTTCCATTAAAGTTTTGCTCACCATTAATAACAAAAATTTGTCAAGCCCCTCTATTCAATGTATTCATTTTCAACTTACATATGGAAAGGATGAATGAATGAATGTTCCTGCTTCCTCAAATTGGATAAATATGTTCAATTGGTTGGATTTCAAATAGGAGTGCCGTTTATAGTTTATTCCCAATCTCATCTAATGATATTGCCAATGCTATTTTCAATGTTAAACTGAATTTCCATGTTCATAAAAAAGGTTTTCTATTTTTTTTTGAATTCGTCCAAGAATTTTTTTTTTTTTTTAATTTTTATAATGTGAAGCCAGCCTTTCTAACTATTTTCTAGGTGCCATCTGCTATTGATTACCAAAATAGTGTCATTTTCTATTTAAGGGAGTTATGGTAATTCCCTTGAAGATTTTCAACCCTCATCAAGAAGAAGTTGCTTCTAGTTTTCCATGACCTATCTACGTGGTTGCATAATACAGAAGATGTAAGCAAATTATCCATGGGGATATTTTCACAAGAGGGTTGCACATTCAGAATCATAGGCTCATAGGTCTGCTTGGGCATAGGCTTGGAAAACCCGGATGATTCTCCAAAAGTTTCTAATGGGTCTGACTTAATAGCTATTGTATAACTTCCTAGCAGCTAGGTTGACTTTGTTGTCCATTGGTTGCAAGGAATTATATTCTCTTTTCGAAAGTAGAGGAGATGAATCTAATAAGCAGGTTTCCTGGGTGATTCAATACTCAGTCTCTAAATCCACCACAGAGCCAACAGAAAGTATTACCATCATGGTCTTGCAGATTCTCATCAGAAAGATGGAAGAATCCATAGCAAGGACTAAATTATTCTGGTTTGTAGGAATCACAGTTATTGCTATTACAAACATCTCTCAATCTTTTTGGTAATTTCAGATTTCTATTCTTGGTATACCAAGATTTCTATTCTTGGTATAAAGTCTCAAGCCTGGGTTTTTGCAAGTACTGTAACCGTAGAAGCAACTTCTGAGGGCATCTGGACTCTGGAAGCTACTTGGACTGTTAGCATATTAGGATGTGTTTGGTTTGAAACAGAAGAACAGAAAATTTGGGACATTCCAAAAGATTTGAAATCTTCCCTTATTTGATACAACTAATGTCATTTTGGATGAATGCAAGTGATCTTACTGATTTATTTAGTTTTCTGTTTGGCATTTTAGTTTTATCTGTTCTTTTTGTGTCCAGATATTGTTTTCTTCTTTCTTCAATCTTCTGTTCTTCCTATGTTTCTAATGCGTTCTCATGGGTTTCAATTAGGACTGAAACCAAGGCTTTATTTGCTTGGAGAAATTAGTGGATCATAAAGATTTGCTTCATCAATTTTTGTTCGCATTGCTGGAATTATAAATTCAATTTGATCTTCTAACTATCTCCTTTCTATTTTAAACTGAAATTAAGGGTTTTACTGCCAAGTATTAGCTGTTTGATTTGATTTGGGTTTTTAGCTTCTTTTTAGATTTTTTTTTATCAATAACCATGAATTTTATTAAAGAAAAGGTGAATAACAACTACAATAGAAGAATGCAATCAATGAGAGATAAACCCTCATGGATTCTTTTTAGATTCAATATACCTTGTTGCAAATCCCTATGCTTGTTCGTGTACTTGAGAAGTAGTTCTTATGTTAAATTTACTGCTATTTTACTAATTTCTCCACTTCAATCTGCCATTTTGTTCTTCTCAGCTATCAGCTATGCTAAGTTTCCTTCGTTTTTTAATTTTGTTCTTTTTGCCTAGTTTTTAAAGGTCTCTCAATACTACTGGTGGGATTTTTTATAAGCTTTTCATTGCAAGGATATTTGCAAGTTATCCCTTAATATGCTATTAATCTAGAAATATTGCTTTATGGAACCTTCTTTTTTTTCAAGATAAGTGTGCCTTGTGCAAGCTTCAGCCACATAGCATGTCCCTTCAAAAGTAGAAGTACTAAGTTTGTGGGTGATATAACATTTCCATAAATTAATTTTTTAAATCATCAGGGACCTATATCAGTACATTTAAAAATTTACATCTACTTCTTTCACATTAACCGGTGAGTTCTGTAATTTTCAAAGTTGGCTTTTACAAATGCAAGGACTACTTTACCTTGCAATGATGGCATAATTTCTGTTTTCTCAAGGTAACAGATATTTGTTTCCTTTGTACCTTGTTTGGAGTTTTTGGAATGTGAGGTGCAGTTACCTTTGCTTTATTTGTGGGTTTAATTATGTGTAGCCTGGTGCTATGGTGGTTTGGGTTTTTAGTGGGTCTAACTGATAGGCTAATTTTATACCACTTGGAGCTCAAAGAATGTTTAAACTTTAAACTTGCTTGGGTTCATTTGAAGGGGATAAAAAGTATAGTATTTAGAATATAGTTGAAGGGAGAATTTTAGAGTTAGGAAGCTTGATTGATTCTGTCACCTGGAATTGATAAGGAATGAGGGTTTATGGTTAAAGTTAAGAAGACCGTTTGATGGAATCTTAGACCGATAAGCCCTTGAAGTGTGTCAAATTTTGTATTACTGAAACATTTCAATGCTTTTATAATTGTGATTGGCAAACATTTGATAAAAAAATTTGGCCTATACATCTTTGCAATATATGAAAGCAGGAGGAGAGTATATTTTGGGGGTTTGTTTTATTTTGGAAGTTAAAACAATATAGAAGGTGATAAATCTCCAGGACCGGATGGTCTAACAAACCTTTTCTATTTAAAATGTTATGACTTTGTGAAATAAGATTTGATGAATATTTTCTAGGCTTTTCACTCAAATGCTTCTCTACAAAGAAGCTTAAATGCCACATTTATTACCCTTATTCCAAAAATTGACGGGGCTGTGAATATCAACGATTTTAGGCCAATCAGCCTTTTACACAGTTTCTATAGAATCCTAGCAAAAGTGTTGGTTGAAAGAATGAAAGGGGTGTTAGGCAGTGTAATTTCTAAAAACCAAAGTGCCTTTGTCCTGGGGAGGTAGACGTTAGACTCAGTTCTCATTGCTAATGAACTTATTGACTCTATAAGAAGAGTGGGAACTTCGGGTTTGATCTGTAAATTTGATATTGAGAAAGCCTATGAATCAAAGTATGCATTAAATCCCCTAAATTTTCAATCGTAATTAATGGGCATTCTGCAAGGTTTTTTGGCAGCTCCAGAGGCTTGAGACAGGGTGATCCCCTCTCTCCCTTGTTGTTCATTTATGGAAATCCTCACCCTTTTTAGCAAGAAGGCTGCAACCTCTGGTTGTTGGGAAGGCTTTGCAATATCTTTTGAAAGGGAAAAGGTCAACATCCTCCAGTTTGCAGATGATACCTTATGTTTTATTGATGTCTCTCCAAATCAGTCGGAAATGGAACTTGGAATTCTTAGCTGGTTTGAAGTGGTGTCTGGGCTGAAGGTTAATCTGAGTAAAAGTCATATTATCCTAGTGGGCCATGTCTTAAATTTAGGGGATTGTGCAGAGGTGATGGCTTGCCAGGTGGAGTTCCTCCTGGTGAAGTATTTGGGGCTGCCTCTTGGGGAAAAATGGTCTTCCTCTTTGGCTTGGATCCCAGTTATCGAGAGAATGGAGAAAAAATATGCAGCTTGGGAAGGCAAAATATCTGTCCTTTGGGGGTAGAGTGACTTTGATCAAGAGCACCCTCTCTAACCTACCCACTTACTTTCTCTCCTTCTTCCATATCCCAAACAAAATAGCAAAAAGATTGGAGCAATTACAGAGGAATTTTTTGTGGAGGGGTTGGGAAGATGAAAAGAAAATTCACCTTGTCAAGTGGGATCAGGTGTGCCTTCCTAAGGAAGAAGAGGGGCTGGGAGTAATCTGAAGAAATTTAACTCAGCTCTTCTTAGTAAGTGGTTATGGAGATTTGCTTCTGAAAGGATTGCATGGTGGAGAAACTTAGTAGCTGCTAAATATGGGGTGGAATGGGGTAATGGGAGATCGAGGGATCCTCCTCTAAGCTGGGGCAGCTCTCTTTAGACAGGCATAATGAAGAATCTTCCTACTCTCTTAGAAGGGATTGGTCTTAAGGTGGGTAAAGGAGATAGAATAAAGTTTTGGAAGGACCCCTGGGGCTTGGAAGGCCCTTTGGAAGATGCTTTCCCTCTTATTTCCCAATGCTCTGTTGATTAGGGGTGTTCACATTAAATGTCAAACCGACCAAACCGGCCCGATCCAACCCGAGTTGGTCGGTTTTTTAAAACCAACAGTCAGTTTCGGTTTGTATGAAAAAATAAACTGACAAATTGGTTCGGTTTCGGTTTTCATACACCAAACCGAACCGAACCAATCCTATATGTTTAACTGTTTAAGTAATTATTAATTAGTCCCTACCCTATGTGTTAAAGGCTGATATATTTTATTTGTGTTTGCTTGAACTTTGAAAAAAATTGGTTATTTATGATAGAAACTAAAAACGTAAAACCAATACCAATATAATACAATGGTACAATATTTAATTCATTTTTGTATAAATTTAAATATATATTGACAAAAAATCAGTTTTGCATAAAAAAACTAATCAATTTAAATATATATTTTGATTTTGCATAAAAACTAAAAAGAAATAGACTTAAATATAAATAGATATTTTAGTTTAAAATATATATATAAAAACCGACTAAACCGATAAACCGACCCTTCATGTTTGGGTCGATTTTGCTTCAGGGTCGGCCGGTTTCAGTTTAGTCAATAAGTAAACCGACTAGGTTGGGTCGGTTGAAGAAAATGACTCAAATCGACCCAACCTGACCCGTGAACACCCCTACTGTTGATCAAGACTCATCAGTAGCTGAGAATTATAATTTTTCTGGAGATACCATTATTTGGACCCCGCTTTGCAGAAGAAGTCTGTTTGATTGGGAACTGGAGGAGTCTGTGGAGCTATTGGGGCTACTTCAAAATCAAAAGATAGATATGAATCTGGAGGGTGAATGGAGCTGGAAATGGAATTCAGATGGTTGTTTCTCTGTTAAGTCCTTAGTCCTCAAGCTGAACAATTCAGGTCAATCGGATTTTCCCACAAATCAAGCTTGGAATCCAATTAGCCTCCAAGGCTAATTTCCTTGTTTGGACAATGGCTCTTCTTGATAAATGTTTAACTAGAGCCAATCTGGAGAGACGTGGCATTCAGATTCTGGACCCCTCCTGTGGCCTATGTGGTTCAGTGGTTCTTTTTCACAAACTACAGATCACCTGTGCATTCACTGCCTGACTTCCTCCTTGGTATGGGGACATTTCCTGAAAGTTCTGGGTATTAGCTGGGTTATGCCAAGATCAGTCAAGGATCTGCTGTACTGTTGGAGAGTTGAAGGCCTCAACAAGAAAGGAAAATTAGTATGGAAGGCTATTCATGCAGCTGTTTTGTGGTCTATTTGAGTTGAGAGAAATAATAGAATTTTTGTTGTAGAGCTAAGAGCCCTGAAGAGTTAGTGCAGAGAACTGTGGGCAAGTGGATCTCTTGGATGTCAGTTACTAAGGAGTTTAAGCATCAGAATTTGGCTCACTTGTTTGGTTCTCAGTCTTGGATGAGTCTATAATCTGATTTGTGATCAGGCAGTCTTTTTGGCCTGGGTTTTGTTGTAATGTTCTTTTCTGTCTGAATAAATTTACTTTACCTTTTCCAAAAAAAATTCTGCAATTATTATTGAAAGTTTGTTGAAAGTTGAAGCACTACATTAAGGTATGAAGGCTAACCCAAGGCGGGTAATTGGCAATGATAGTAGCATATATGTGGAGTTTCCAAGGGTTCTGCTGTCAAATGTACTGCCTGGTTTGATCACATTATCTCTTCACATAGAAAGTGGATGGGTGATGGGTCCACCAGGTAAGAGAAGAATCCTAACAACCCGGATTACAGAACAGGCAAAGGCTTCAACCAGAGACACTGAATAGGGAAATGGGTTAAAAGATGATTGGTTGAAGGATTAAGAGAAGAAAGATAAGAATATTAAGTAAAAAGAGCCATTACCCAATGAAAGCCCCTGCTATCCAAGGTCATGGGAGGGCCGAGTGAGTCCGGCTTTCCTACCCACATAACATCGAAACCACACATGGGGAACATCTTATCCTCTTACCTATTATTATGTTCCCAATGCACGGAGGTAGTGATTTGTGGGTAGGCTGGATAGAGACTTGACTACATCACCTTGCCAAATCTCAAGTAGTACATGGCATAGAAAATCAGGGCCCTTGGTTCAGACATGGGATCCATATACTTGATCACCCCATTTTGGGAAGCTATATAATATATTACAGCGCCCCTTCAGTTTTTAAATGCTACTTCTACTCATCTGCTCTTATAATACTCGATTTAGTAATTCAGCATCACCAACACCTGCTACTTCTGCAATCACTCTAGAAACTCCAAGCTTCAGGTAACCCAACATTTGGCAATCCAGTGTCTACCTCTAGCAGTCTGGCTGCTGTAACTTTAGTCATAAAGTTATCCAGTTATTCAACGCAGAAGAAAAAAAATTGCAGTGGTAGATACTAGAAAGAATACTTTCAATCTTTGCATGCAAAAACGATTGACCAATATAGTTGCCTCTCATGACTCGCAACCCTTTCAAGCTTCAACTACGACTGCACAATTAGTGACAACAATTGTCAATCTCTTGCATTTAATTTTCAACCCAGAAAAATCAAACAGAGAAAGAGAACTAATTCATCCGTCTCTTAAATTCAACCCAATAAAAAATAGTCAAGGAAATAAATATAATCTCATACTCTTTATCCAATCCATTGTCAAACGTGACAGCCAAAGTTTTCTCGTGTGTGGATAGAAATCCTCAGATCGTCACTGAATAACAAGTTTCCTTAACCCTTTAAATCTCAGATAAGTTCTGAAGAGTGAAAACCATTCGAACACGACCATTCTCCCATTGATTAGTACTAACCTTCTGATATTCCTCGTGCCTGAAATGGCGCAGCCTATCTATTTGCAGCTCCTATTCCTACTATTACTAACCAAAACCTTGTTCTTTCGATCAACATACGCCGTGGATTTGGTCTTCAATGGCTTTAATTCCTCCGAACTCTTTTTCTACGGCACGGCGTCGCTCGAGTCTCGTGTTCTCATCCTTACAAACAACTCTGCTTTCTCTGTTGGCCGCGCCCTTTACCCCACAAAGATACCAACAAGACCTCCCAACTCCTCCACGCTCCTTCCATTCTACACCTCTTTCATCCTCTCCATCGCTCCCAGCGATGGCCAACTCTCCGGCCACGGCCTTGTCTTCATCTTTGCTCCCACCACCGGAATCAATGGCACCAGCTCTGCTCAAAATCTGGGCCTCTTTAACCGCACCAACAACGGCAGCCCCGACAACCACGTACTGGGCATCGAATTTGACATCTTCCAAAACCAAGAATTCAATGATATCAATGACAACCACGTCGGCGTTGATATCAACTCTCTCACGTCACTAACTGCTCAATCGGCCGGTTATTGGGCTAAGAACAGAAGTGATCAGGATAGGACCTTTCATGACCTGAAGCTCAACAGTGGCGCCAACTATCAAGTATGGATTGACTACTCGAATTCTCAGCTCAATGTCACCATAGCCCCAGTCGGATTGAAAAGGCCTGAGCTGCCATTGATTAGTACTCCTGTCAATCTGTCTGACGTTCTTCTGGACGAAATGTATATCGGCTTCACTTCATCGACGGGACGACTAGTTGCGTATCATAGGGTTCTTGCTTGGTGTTTCAGTAATTCAAATGTCTCGATTGGAGATTCCTTGCTAACTTCGAGTTTGCCGTTGTTTGTTCCTTAGATACTTCAATCATGTAAATTTCTTCTTATTCCGTTTTTTAATTTTTATTTTGCATATGTTATCTAGAGTAAAATAAGAAAATAGGGTTGGCAAGTTTGAAGAGACGAGAGCAATAAAGCTCAAATATTTTCATCATATATATTAATATATACATGTCTTTTATAAACAAAAAAAAATGATATATACATATATACATATACATACATACATATTATACTTGCTGATAGAGGCAAGGATTAAGGTATCGATACCATATTCCCGATACGGGGCGTATCGTATCTGTATCCATGATCATGGATACATGATACACTATGAATAGATACGTATCCCACGAGTTGTACGTATCGGTACGATATGCATCTGTATCGGCCCGTATCACACCATATCAATGGATACGGTCTGATACACACCGATATGGAGGTATATCCGTGTCTAGTTTGACAAAATTCTATATTGAATACTTTTGGATTGTTTTTCATCTTTAATACAAGTTAAAAAATAATATTATGAAAATTAAAATAAATAATTTAAGATTTAATTTTCCCAAAAAAATTTAATAAAAACTAAAAATTATAAAAATAATATATTTCATCTAACTTAGATGATTTATATATTTTATTTTACACATAATTATATGTTAAAAATGAAAACATAGTTGTTATTTGAAAAACAAAATTGAGTTATTATATAAAAATACTAAATAAATAAAATTTCCCAACAAAATTAATGGAAAACAGAAAATTCTAATTTTAAAAACTGAAACGAATAATTTAAGATTTAATTTTCTCAAAAAATTAATAAAAACTGAAAATTAAATATAATTTATTTTATCTACCTTAAATGATTTATTTGTTTTATTTTACAATTATGTGTAAAATAAAAACATTATATATTAAAAATGAAAATATATTTACTATTTAAACAATAGTTGTTATTTAAATAAAATATTAAATTAATAAATATTCCCAAAATTAATAAAAATTGAAAATTATAATTATAAAATTGAAAGAGTGATAATTATTGTACAATGTTTGAATGATCTTATTAAATTCAAATAATAATTAAAATTATAAAATTTAAATAAGGATATTATTTAAATAACTAAATAATATTTTAAATAATCAATTTCACTTATATCAATTAATAATTCTAGAAAAACAAATTTCAAAAAAAAAATATTCATTAATAATGTTTTTAAAATCTTAATCTATATTTATTATATATTTAATATACTAAAATTAATATTTATTGTATTTTCAGCAATTATTTATAGTTTTTTATAAATATATTTTCAATAATTATGTATAAATCTATATTTTTTTTTGTTATTTAACATAAAATTTTTAATAATTATTGGATAATAAACTACTGTTATTTAACTTTTTAAATTTAATTTATTATACTTATTATATTTATTGTATTTTTGTTGTACTTTATTCATTGATATTTATTAGAGGTTAAGCTATTATTTGAGATTATAATATTTATTGACTAACTTAATATATTTTTTAGTATTTTTAGTATTTTTTTAATTATTGTAATTATTTTATTTTTATTAGCTATCTATTTTATTTTCATTATCAATATATTTTCAATTATTGTACATTTTTGCTTTAAATTTTTAATAGTTATTGGAGATTAAACTTCTTTTATTTATTAGAGATTAAAATATTAATTTAGATGAAATTAGAAGTGTTGATCACGGCTTGGTTTAGTTCGATTGTAGGCTATTTGGCCAACCAAATTGGCATGGTTAGGTTGGGGAGTTGGTTACCCAAAATCTATTGTGCATTAGTGAAAACCAACTAAATCGGGTTGATTTTTGGTTTGCTCAATTGGTTTAAAAGATTACATTGAAAACTTAATTTTAAATTTTAAAAATTACATTAACATTATTAAAAATAAATTTATAATATAAAATATTTGAGACTAAGAAATATGGAAATTTCCCCCTTTTTTCGTATTAAAAAATTATATTTAAAATATATATATATATATATCTGTGATTAGTCATCCGATTTTGGTCAATTTACAAATGGCCACAGAGAAATTGATCCCAATTTCAACCATAAATATTACAAATTGGACTGGATTTGGTCCAATCCGATCCAGTCCATTACAAATGGATCAGGTCCAAGTTCAATGTCTAGACCGTTCAATCTGTTCAAATTTGTTTTAACTTAGATTGGTTTCAACCCAAACTTAGTCCATTGACACCTATATCTTATCTTATATCAATGGATCAAATATTGGCTTAATCCAGCCCAATCCAATATAAAGTTATCACAGATGGAGCCAGTCCAATCCAATCTAATAAATATTTTGGATTGGATTGGTCCAATACAATATGTCTTGTTGGTCCATCCAAATTGATTTTGGACTGAACGGGATCCAGTCCAAAACTGGTTAAATATCCCTGCAATAAAACATGCCATCCTCAACACAATCAAAAGACCCTAAGGTGATTGCTTTAGGCGGTGTTTGGCATCGATGCTATTGCTCCAGAAAATGGTGACACATCACTGCTCCAGAAAATGGTGGCATGTATGGAACTGTTTTTCCATAAAAATCGGTGCTCCTAACCACGCCTTGGAAATTGAGAAGGTGTGGTCTAGGAAACGCCGAATTCGATGTTTTGTCAATTCGGAGCTCATTGCTGCCAACGAGGACATGTTGTGGCAATGACGTGGACTTCCTATAATGGGTACCAGTGCTGAAAATAAATATGGAGCACTAGTACCAAACAGAAGGTGTTGTTGTTGACCCAGGAAAATTGAGTAAAAAATCACCATAAAATATTACCCTAATGTATATGACTTTGTTTAAATGATACAACCAAAATAGTGCAGCCCCTTCGGATAAGGGTGCAAATGAGATGTGATCCTATTTGGTCAAATTTGGATCTGTCTCCTATTCGGATATTCAGATTGAATCGGATAATATGATTTGATCAGAAATTGGATCGGATTCGAATCACCCCCCTATTCGATCCGAGAAGATCTGATCCAATATATGTTATATATTGTATTTTTATATATATATATATAATATGCTATTTATTTCTTTATAAATATATTATTTATATTGTATTTTTATAAATTTGTTATATTATTTATTTATTTTATAAAAAACATGAATATATATATATATGATGAAAATAGTTAAAAAAATACTTATATTTTTTGTTTTTTCTTTATTTAAATTGTATAGTTTAATTTTCTTTTAATAGTTTATTAATTTTTTAAAGAAAACAACTCGGATCGGATCAGATCCGAAGATCTAAGTTACCGACAGGATCCAAATTCAAAGCGAGACCTATCGGATCTTCGAATCCAACACGAACAGTGTCGGATCAGATTCGGATAACCCTGATTCGAATCCAATCCGATCCATTTGCATCCCTACCTTCAGTTGGAGGGTAAAATGGTAACTTCACTGAGGAATTGGCCACGATGCACCACGTCTGTAATGCCCGTGCATTAATGGCGTGCCGACGAGCAAAGGACCCAGGCCGATCATAGGGAGATCACATTTCCTGTGACCACCATTACAGAACAAAACCGAGACCCCCTGGTGAATTTGCAATATGTTGGTGTTTTATTCAAACACCGGTTCAATGCGATATTTTGTGTTTTTCACCAAACACTGGCGTGTTCAAAAATCACTGGGGGGTTTCAGGTTTGTCCTGTGTTGATGGTCATAGGATGATAGGAAACTTAATCTGGATCACAAGAGCCAATTACCCCCACGGCCAAGGGCTCCTCATCTATAGATAGGCATGTGTCCCGAAGTTTCTCTTCCTTTTTGCATTCTTTACTCACTACTACACACTTCTTACCTCAGAAACCACTTCATACACTCACTTGTGAGTCTCAACTCACAAACAGCTCTTCTTTTTCTCCTATTACCTTGATTGATTTGAGCGTGAGAGACTCCACCCCATGGAAGAACTCTAAAATAACAGCAAAACAATAAGGCTTCGTTTGAAAGAAGTACAAAATCAAATATATAAAATATAAAACCTTAAATTATATATTATTTCGTATGTATTTATACTTTTTCTAAACTAAGGGTTGGTGGTGAAAAGTTATACTTTGATATCTTTGAAAACCAATATTAAACACTAATATAAGAAAGAAAGTAATGGAAACAAATGCAGTTGACCATAGAAATTAAGCACACTATAAAATAACCACCCTCTCTCACCATCAGAAGATCGACAACTTGTCAATCTCTAATATTTAATTTTCAACTCATATCCACCATACACACATTAGATGAATGAAAAACGAAGAAACTAAAAAGTCAAAGAAAGAAATTTCTCTCCCTTAATCCTGAGATAATCCATGTGAATGCACAGATTTGTTGTTTGTATATTCGCACAGATCGTGCTCACATCTAATTTCTACTTTCTTGCTTAGAAAGAAAAAAGTTCTTTCATATTATCAGATATATAACTTATTCACGTCAAATCCTAAACAGCAGTGAGCTTTGAAAACGAAACGGTGAGAAAACTTCTGCTTTAATTTGTTAAATTTTCAACCTATGAGGCTCTAGATTATTGAAACGTGACAAGTAACAACAAAAGATAGTCACAAGTTACAAAATTAAACGTTGTTAAATGTCAATTGGATTTTGAGCAGGTAATCACCATTTTTTATTTCCCTCTTTCCAATCTTGCACAAATTGATCAAACTCTTTGCTTTGCTTATTCACAATTCTGAGTCTTTTTTCTTTCTATTAGGCTCAGTTTGGAAAGAATACAAAAAAATTTAATATCAAATATAAAATTTTACATTCCACATAGTACTTATCCCAAACTGAGCCTTAATTACTTTCTAAGAAAATGTGTGCAAACAAATGAAAATAAGAGTTCCAATCAACCTATTTTATTGGAGGAGATGTTAACCAATCAGATGGAATTTATTAAAATTCATGGGTGAATTTTGATTGGTCAAGACTCTTCACCATGTCTTTCCCACACCATAGGTTTTCCCTTG